CTATTACCCCATAGGATGCGATAAGTGAAATGATCGATACAATGCCGGAATACTCTAACTGTTATACCATTGATCGTTACACAGACTATTTGATACGTTTAAAATGAAATTTATATATTTACTCATATAATAAAAACCAAGTAAAAAAAAAAAAAAATGTAACGTATTCGTTTAAATAATTCATAACGGATAAAATCAGCGAGTCTCTTTTAAAAATCTAATTCTTATAAATAAAAACTAACCTGTATCCTCAAATTCATCCATGACCTCCATACATATTTCGTCTTCAGTTAACATGCCTGAACCACCGGCCGGGACATCTGGTACAAAAATTTGAGGCGCGATTTGAACCTGTGGAGCTACACGAGGGACAAACTGGATCACGCTTGGTCGTGCTGGTTGAGCGGTGATCGGAGCAGCAGGTAATGGTCTGAGGTGAGCCGGGATGTTGACGATACCTTGGGAAAAATAATAGTTACAAATTAATATCGATTAAATAAGACACAATTTAAACTTTATATTTGTAATACAAACCATGAACATTTTTCATATGCCTATTCAGATGCGACTTATCGTTGAATGTTGATAGGCAAGCGGTGCATGGAAAACATACACCCGTATGTTTTTTTTGGTGTGCTACCAAATTACGTTTTGCAGAGAAAACCGACGGACACTGTTCACATTTAAACATGTTTAAAATGTTTAAGGTATAAACGGGATGAAAAATAATATAGTGTTTAAAACACTTGTATAAATTAAACACTTAGACAATTTTAAAAAACTGATGAACGAATTATGAAGACTGTGAAAACACGGAGAGAGCAAAGCTAAAGTAAACGTAAAGATGTAGGTGTCTAGAACAGACTAATTCTATATCATTGTCCGATACAGTGTCTTGAGATTTTTTAAAGGTATGATAGCATTTCATGGGAAGGTACAAATATCATTATGTATATCAGTTATTATTGTGTTATTCATTAATAGATATTTTAATTTGTTGTTGTTGTTGTTAAGTATATCTAAGAGACCAACGTATAAGCGATTAAGATATTTTTTAGTACTAATGACATTTGCTTATAATAATAATAATATATATAATGTTATAAACAGATTGGTAATTATTATGTTATTCACTAATATATATTAATTTGTTGTTGTTGTTAAGTATAGTATCTAAAGGACGAGAGTTTACTCGCGACTTATACATTTTCACTAATAGGTATTTTTTTTAGATTGTTTATTAGACGGTTGTTTTTTTAAGTATGATAAAATTTTGTGGGAAGKTACAGATTTTGTTATGTATATCATTTATTAATATGTTATTCCCAAATATATGTTTTTAAAAATTGTTGTTGTCGCGTTTAGTATATCTAAGATACAAGAGTCTGTAATTGATAACTGATAAAATATATATAGCTCACATAACGGATCGTAAGGTAGTGGGAAGGTGGAGGATAATATATAAAATATGTATCGGTCACGTGATGAGTAGATGGGTTCAGGTGGAGGGGTAAATATACAAAATATGTATCAGTCATGTGATACGGGTTGAGGGAGGGGTAAATATACGTCAGGTGGCGGYGGCGGTGATGGGATGCGKGGTGTGGGATGTGGGGTGGGGTAACGTCGCATACGTGTGTGACGAGGAGGGCCAGCAAAGGCTAGTAGGGCCAGCAGGGCCAGCAGAGGCTAGTAGGGCCAGCGAGCCAGGGTCTGAACTCTCATTTTTATACTACTGAAGTAGTTAATCAGAACAAGAAGAGTAAGCTTACTGTGTCATTTCAAATATAATAAAATTAATAATTTTCTTGTTGTTTTATAACTTATAATCAAAATATTGTAATATTGTATCATTTGTATGTATATATATTTTTTCTTATTATTATTTATCAAATTATTATCAACCATGTTATCCTACGACTCCGTCTCTGGACGGGGAGTACTGTAGGGACAATGTATTTTGGCAACACTGTTAATTGATATAATATTTTTCAGTTTTGTTCTCGCGACGTCGTCCGCGTTTTTGTTTTATTTTTATTATTATTATAATGTTCTCTTAATTATTAGATATTAAAAACGTGTTCCTTATTATTACAATAAAGTCGTTTATTATTTAACTTTTTAATAATTATTTATTAACATTATAAATTTATTGTTGTTATCTATATCAATAAATCAGGGTGTCGGATATCGCCTTTATCGATCGATCACCGGTCATTAAGATAGTCGAGATCGTTCTAGAACCTTCTAGACTCCCCACTCGCCCGACATTCGTAGTCGGATAGTTGTCGCCCGACATTCGTAGTCGGACAGTGGTCGCCGATGTGAAGGTGCTAATAAATGCACAKCRAAAGGCCTTTCATTATTATTATTTGCAACGTGTAATATTTCAACCGCGTATCAATTTATATTGACGCGTTGTTTGTTGTGGCGTTCCGACAACGTTGGATTTGATCCATCTTCCTTCCGTTATTTGTGCGGCRTTTATGGATCKTTTATACACTCTTATACGAAGACTTCATTCATTGTGCCAGATCGTATGTATGTACTCTTTGYATCGTTAATTATATTAAATATTGTATTATTTGGTTAAGGCCATCAAGGTCTCATGTAAATTTATTGAATTAGTTCAATTCTTGTATTACTGAATTGGGCGCCCAGATATATGTGTATTAATATAGTTTATACACTAGTACACAACTTATTATTATAATAAATACAATAAAAAAAAAATAGTTAGATTATAACATGCACCTATTTCAAAATGTTCACATAAAATAATTCAAAAACGATTTATATTTTTTGAAATAATAATGTTTCTAACATAAACTAGATCGTAAGTTACTTAACGATAATATTGATATTTAAAAAAATTGTAAAAATCAGCCACTTGACTTAAATAAATGTTTTTACCGTATAAATTTTTCTGAAAAATATTTACAAATTGGCTATTTTGGATATTTTGGAATTTTTTTATCAATTTTGTAGTTTTTTATTTTCAGTATTAAAAATAAAAAATGTATACTACAAATGTGGCACAATTTCCAATGAATTATATTTAAAAGACATTTTTTTAAAATATTAATTAGAACAAAAGTTATYTCATTTGTCAGATCTCAGTGGGACACCTTGTATAAAAATGTAAATAAATGATTTACCTTGGAATAGAGTTAGTTTATTGTACCACATGCGGAGTGACGGTTTTACATTTAGGTTTTTGACTCTATGGTTAATTTTTAATTTTGTGTTTGTGGATGAAATTTATTTTATAAGAAGGATGGCATGATCTGATAATGGACTTAAGGATTCTGTTCTATGAATATTTAAAGAAGTAAATATATGTGTATTATGTAAAAAATTATTTAGAACTTTAGACTGAACTAATAATAAGGTATTAACGGCTTTATTTTTATAATCAAAATTCCGAAGAATTTTTTCTGTAAGAAAACATATAGTAAAGACATCATCACTGGGATATATCAGTCCACCTTTATTACCACCTTGGTTTTTAAGATTGATAAATGAATTTAAAAATTGTTGCTTATCCGTAGCAATCAAAGACTCAATACATGTTTCACATTTAAGAATTGACATCAATTTATAGACAACAAATCCAGTTATGTAAACTACTATTTATTGAGCAAAATTACTGAAGGTATAAGTATCTTGCATTATTATATAATCATGGTCATTAATAAAATATGTCCCTTTATCAGAAGTTTCTCCAATTAAATCAGTATCAATTAGAGAACATGTATTATTTATAACCTTTACCGGATCTGTACTTGAGTAATGTAAAACATCTATTTATATGTTCTAATCATAGGCGCAACTAGGGGGGTGCTAGGGGGACTTTAGCACCCCCAGACTAAAAATTAGCACCCCCAAAAATTCAAAGTCAAATCCTTGATTTGTAAGCTGTAGGTATTTCATTATTGTACCTACCTATTCTGTTTAAATTTTTATTTTAGAATAATTTATTTATATTTAATGTTTCGAAGATAGTTATATTAGATGACAACATAGTTTGTCATGAGGTCTACAATATAATATCATGATAGCCGATAGGTAAGGTATATTGCATTGGGAATTTGGTTGTGTTAATAGTTATTTTTAAACTGTTATATCTACGTAATCCGCTACCCGTATGTTTTCCATTATAT